TCTGTTTTTTGGTTGGGTCTTTCCCTGGTTTTGGAATCAAAGTAACACTTGCTTCCAGGAATGAATTTGGAAGCCTTTCTTCCCTTTCAATTTCCTTGATGAGTTTAAAGAGTAATGGCTATAGTTCTTCTTTAAATGTCTTATAGAATTCAGCAGTGAAGTCATCAGGACCTGCGTTTTTCTTGGTTGCTAAATTTTTAATTACATTTTCAATTTCATTCATCATAATTGGGGTGTTTAGAATTTTTATATCTTCTTCATTTAACTTTGGCAATTCGTATGTATCTAGGAATCTGTCCATTTCTTCTATGTTTTCCATTTTATTAAAGTATAGGTTCTCAAAGTAGGTATTGATGATCCTCTGGATTTCTGCTGGGTCTGTTGTGACTTCACCTTTTTCATTCTTAAATCCATGAGTTTGAGCCTTTTCTTCCTTTTTTGGACAAGGTTGGCTAAAGGTTTATTGATTTTATTTATTGTTTCAAAAAACCAACTCTTTGATTCATTGATTTTTTTGGTACCAGGGATTGAACTCGGGTCCTTGTGCTTGCACAGCAGGCAGTGAAACCACTGAGCTAAATCCCCGGCCCTGATTCATTGATTTTTTTGTATCGTTCTCTTAGTTGGAGAAGACTTTTTGAGGAGAAGACATTTAAGCAGAGGCCTCCACAAAGGGAGAAAAACAGCCCTGCAGTTAAATAGGAAAAGGGAAAGGCCCTTCAGAGCAGTGGAAACAGGGAGCACTTTTCCTCAGATTCATAGACACCTGCTGTATTCTAGGCACTCTTTGATGGCAGGACAGGAGGATACCACTGTGAATCAGAACCTTGGGGTTGAGGACCTCAGGAGTGTCTTTCCTGTGGAGGGTGGTGAGAAGACAGCTTGAGGGTTACTCCACAGATAATCTACCCGCCTGCCTGCTCCAAAGGCAACTGCAATGGGTGCGTGAAGACACCATCTCTGTGCAGAGTCATTCGTTTTCTCTACTGCCCATCACCTTCTCCTCCTGAAGCCAGTGAGAGCCCTGGACACCAGCTGGTACTCACTCCCCTTGCCATCTCCAAGTCTGAAGCCATAGTTGGTCCATCTCCCATGTCCACTAGGTGGAAACTCCCCAGGGCCAGCATCCTCCATGCCTGCACACTCTGCAGCCTTCCTTGCAGCCTTTAGCTCCTCCTTGGGGGCAGACTTAATGTCGCCTCCTCTTGGAAGCCTTCCTTGATGATCCCCCCAGTACTTGTGTTCCCATTGGCTCCTGACCATCTTTGGATATGCCCACAATGAGCCCCATTAAATACAGCCCACTTCTGGGCCACAGATATAGCTCATTGGTGCCTCCGCCTGCCTCGCAAGCAAAAGGTCCTGAGTTTGATCCCTGGTACCAAAAAAACCCAAAAAACTAAGAAACAAAGCTAAATACAGCCCACTTCTCACAAGCCCTCTGCCCATGTGGCAGCCTGGTTCTCCACCCAAGACATCCAGCTTTCTCAGTGTCGCCAATGGCAGAATCCTACCCATGGACAGTAACCAAACACAGCAGTGTGGATTGGTCCAAAGGGTACCTCTGGGGCTGGGGCATCGCACAGGGAAGAGTCCTTACTTAGCAGGTTCAAGGCCCTGGGTTCCATCCCTAGCATTGGAAAAGAAAAAAATCAAAATAAAAAAAACGGGTGGTGGTGGGGGGATAGATTTGGAGAATAGATTTGGAAGATGACAGCCCCTTCCAAATGCCCTTCCCACCCCACCCGCAAGTTGGTATGCAGTGGCCTCAGTGAGCAGCTGCATTGTGGGCATGCTCTGAGCAAGGCTGGTAAGGACTTGGCCTCCTTCACAGGTGGTGCCAGGGTCATGGGTGAAAAAGGGATATCTCTTTGCTAGGTTAGGGCTTTGTAGACAGAAGACCCCATAAGCAGCATAAAAGCAATTGGAGGCCCCAAGAAAGGAAGAGAGCTACCTAAGTCACACATGGCCTAGCAATGACAGGGCATTGGCTCTCTTCCTCCCCTCCCCTTTTTTTTCCTTTTGGTACTAGGGATTGAGCTCAGGTTCTCACATATGCTAAGCACTTTTTATTTTGATTGTTTGTTTGTTTTTTGGTACCGGTGATCGAACTTGGGTCCTTGCACTTGCGAGGCAGGTGGCAAAACCACTGAGCTAAATCCCCAGCCCAAGCACTTTTTATTTTGAGACAGGGTCTTGCTAGGTTGCCTGGGCTGGCCTCAAATTTGTATCCTCCTGTCTCAGCCTCTGGAGTAGCTGGGATTATAGGTGTGTACCACTGTGCCTGGCTCTCTCTTATCTCTGATCCAGTGTTGCTGTTCTTGGAAATGGGGAGAATAAATCAGAGAAACTTCAGGACTCAGAGTGTCTGGCCAGGTTTCTTCCTAATAATCACAGTGGTGCACACAAAGCAATGGCCATGTTCCAGGCTCTACATAAGCATGTGGTTTTTTTTGTTTTTTGTGGTACCGGGGATTGAACTCTGGACCTTGCACTTGCAAGGCAGGTGCCAGTACTACTGAGCTAAATTCCCGGCCCTATAAGCATGTTTTATATACTAACTCATTGTATTCACACAAAGCAGCCCTATGAGGTGGCTACTATTATTATTCCAATTTAATGGATGGGAAAGCTGAGGGAGGTAGAGAGAGATTAAGGGACTTGCCTGAGATCACATAGTTACTGAGGAGCAGAGCTGGGCACCCATCCTAAACTGTCTGGCTGCAGGTCCGTGTGCTTGCCTGCTCCAATGCCTTTCATCATTCTCTATTTCTACTCCCTCTAGCAAGGGTCTGAGCTTCTCCGAGTTTCAACTTGCTTCCCAGTAAACTAGTAAACAATGCCTCTCTGCTCATTGTTTAAAATGAAATGCAGGGATGGGGATTTAGCTCAGTGGCAACATTCCTGCCCTGAAAGCACAAGATCCTGAGTTCGATCCCCTGTACCAAAAATAAATAAATAAAATAAAATAAAATGCAATAATACCACCCAGTATGTAGTTCTCAAGACGTGCTAGCCAAAATCACTGGAGAAAAACAAGAGCAGAAATTCTTGCCCTTGGCCCAGTCATGGTTGGGGCAGGTGGTAACAATAAAAACATTCTACCACCAATTCTCAGATTTTCTTCACATTCTAACGTCTCTGAGATGTCCTAAGTATGGTGTGGGATATGTCAGTGGTGATAAAATGCATGATGGAATTCAGAGAGGTCAAGACAAAGAGTAAAGCTCTGCTAGATGAAAAGTCTCTCTCTGGCAAGGCAGAAGGCAGGGGCAGGACTTGCTTCACCAGCGGCATCAGACTCTATCACAGGACAATTCCAGACTGCTCCCCTGCCCCGCAGAGCTGCCTGCTCAGATGGTTAGGAGGAGAGAGAAAAAGAGTCACAAAGTTTCAGAGAGAAAAGAAAAAGAATGACGGTCTGGGGATTTAGCTCAGTGGTTCTGCTGCTTGCCTCGCAAATGCAAGGACCCGAGTTCAATCTCTGGTACCGAAAAAAAGAAAAAGAATGTCCTCTACTCCACCACCTTTGCCTGCCTTTGGCTTTTTGCCTCCCTGCTGGTGGCTTGTGCTGGTCCCTTGTGTTTATTAGAGCAGGGAATTTCATAATTCCAGTGGGCAGCGCTGCCGCCCTAGAGAGCTGCTCCTATTGGTTAGTTTTTTCTTTTTCTTTTTCCTCTTTCTCTTTCTTTTGCTCCTCCTCCTCCTCCCCTTCCTCCTCTTTTGTAGTGCTGGGGATTGAACCCAGGACCTTTGAACTGAGCTACAACCCCAGCCCATTTTACAATTTTTAAATTTTTAAATCTTGAGCCAGGATCTCACTGAATTGCCCAGGCCTGCCTTGAACTCGAGATCATCCTGCCTCAGCCTCCTGAGATCTGGGATTACAGGTGTGTTCCTCTGCATCTGACTCTCTTGGTTGTTTTATAGCAAGTCTGAGGTCTCTGAGGATTGTTGACTTCTCTGTTGTTTGTTTCAGTTGCTCAGAACAGAAAGCTTGGTATCTCCTTCACTCTTCTCTCTCACATAACCCCAACCAATCCATCAAGAAGGCCCGGGGCTCTACCTTTCTAACACACTAATGTATCCCAGATCTGAGCCCTTCTCACTATTCCTGCTGCTGCTTCTTCCTCCTGGTCACGAGGATTCTGCTCTGGGAAAGCCCTTCACTTAGCAGCCACTCCTTCCATTCCGAGAGAAAGCCAAAGCCTAAGTGCACCAGCCCTGGCTCCTGTCATCTCTCCTCCCTCTTCAAGCTCCTCACTCCTTCTGCTCTAGTCTGGTTGGCTTCCTTGTTCAAACAGGCCAGGTAGGCTTCACCCTGGCTACACCCTATGCCGGGAATGCTCTTCCTCCAAATATCTGCAGAGCAGAGCTCTTGCCTTTCCCTTCTTCACGCCTTTACTCAGTGTCACTTTCTAGTGACACCCATGCTAACCACTTCAATACTGCAACTTGGGGCCAGGGGTATATAGTTCAGTGGCAGAGCACATGCTTAGCAAGCTTGAGGCTCTGGGTTCAGTACCCAGCACCAAAGAAAGAAAGACAAAAAATCAAACCAAAAAGCCCTGTAACTTGTTTTCCTTTTCACTTCTCCAATCTTGATCTACCTTAGCTGGCTCTGTTTGTGCTACTTAGCAGTTATTGTAATGTTTGTTGTTTGTGCTCCCCTTGTTGAAAATTCTTCTGAGGGCAGATCTCTGGGTTGTTCACTGATATTCCTCCAGAGCCTAGATACGGGCTTTGCACATAGTAAGTGCAAATTTAGAGATGGGTAAATGTGTGGCAATTATTCACCTTTGAGGAGAAGTAGGTGGTTTCAGGGATGTAAGTGACATCTGAACTGGATCTTGAAGTCCATCTGAAAGTTGAGTTAGGTAACTGGGCAACCTGTTAGCCTGAACAAAGTCACAGAGCTGAGAGGACTTGGTGGTAGGGCATGGCTTAGGGAAAAGGGTCAACCAGTGATACTTAGTTGGAGTGTATATTAGCAAGGTAATTTTTTTTTTTAGCAAGGTAATTTGAGGCCAGATTGAGCAAAGCTTTGATTGCAGGCTAAAGGCTTCTCCCACAGGCAGCACCAGCTACATAATTTATGGGGCACAGTGCAAAATGGAAATGAAGGTCTTCTGGAAAAAAAAAATTTCACGACAGTGGCAGAGATATGTTAACCAAATGCAAGGCTCTTCTGAGCATAGGGGTTGGTGTTTCTGAGCAGGTCATAAACCCATGAAGCCAGCCCTGCCTGTAGGCCTATGGGGAGTCAGTGATAGTCTCCCAGCAGAACAAAGATGTAACTGGAGCTGGATTTTAAGATTATTCTGGTGGCTGAGTTGGAGGGAGTTCAGGCAGAGAGACTGGTCAGGCAGCCTTCTGCACAGCTAGTGAGGAAGAGGAGAGGAAAGAAGAGGTAGGGGTGAGGTCTGAAGGGCGAAAGGCAGGGGTGAGGCTGGATTAGGCCTTGAGTGAGAAGCACAGTGGAGGGGGGTCTGCTTAGATGAGATCATGGGTCTGGCAAGGACCCTGAATATGCCTTCCTTTGCTTTTCCAAACCCTTTCTCTCTTCCCTGCTGCCGATTTTGGCCTTGGAGGTGATATCGGACACAGGAATCAGCACTGTCCCTCCCTTTGGCCACCAGAGGGCAGATTATTCTCATAGATTTTTTTCAAGTTGAATTTGGGGTGGGGAAATGGAATGTACTCAGTCCTCTTCCTCTTTTTCCCTTCTCTTAGGTGACCCTTCGCCAACTTCTTCCCCATTGGGTGGGTGCCAGGATGGAGGGGGGCGAGGCATGGGGAGGAGTCTTGGAATTCTGTAGATTTACTAAAACTGTAGGTGGTACTTGTTGCCTGGCCAGTACTTGCTTACCCTTCTTGCATCTCTGGTTATTTCTCTGATTGAAGTGACCAAGGATCAGCTCAGGATGTGGTGGCTGGGAGTTTGAAGTCAACTGTCAGAGGTCAAACCAAGACTTTCCCCATAATCCTTGGGCCTTCTCTTCTGTACCTTTGAAGACCTGTCTCGCCTTGGCCTGGTTTCCAGCTCTTGTGGAACCTCTGGCTATCCCACTTTAGGTTGAGCCCTGGGGAACGGATCAAGTAATATGAGTGGGACAGCTTGGACTGTCCACGCAGCTTGGAAATCCACGAAGGGTATGGCCTGTCCTTGGTGGGACAGTCTTGGGGGAAGTAAGGAGTGGACCCCGTTGCTACAGACTTTCTGTTAAGAGTCAGGAGCTCTCTAGGGTCAGGGATTTAGCTCAGTGGCACCGAGCCTGACTCCTAAGTGCAAGGTCTTGAGTTCGATCCCCGGTACCAAAAAAAAGTCAGGCCAAAGCTGAGAAGGACCTCCGGTCTTACGAATCCAATAACTTCATCTAATAGAGTAACTGAAGCCCAGAGTAGAAAATCAGCCCATTCTTGTGTCATCCTGAGGAATCTTTTTTTTTTTTTTTTTAAAGTGTTGAGGATTGAATTGGGGCTTGTGAATGTTAAACATGTGCTCTACCACTAAGCCACAAAATCAT